CATGGATAAATTCTAGAGCAAACAAAGGCTTTCACAGCCTCCTTCCAACAAGTCTACCATGCCAACTGAGATCAAAATCAGCACCAGAGCAGAGGCTGCCCGTGCTGGTTCAGGCTCAGCACACACCTTCTGTTAGGGAGAAGCAGGAGAAAGGGGCAAGTTCCTCCTCTGAAGGCACCTGCTCCTTTGTTCACCTCTTTCCTGACCCCCTGCACTGCAGTGGGCACAGAACAGGTTGCTAAAGCAGCAAATAAAATAACTAGAAAAAAATTAAGTACCAGTTCCCCATCCATGTCAGGGAGTCATGCTCACTAACTAACAGACTTGTAAAGAGGTGACCCTGCAGGTGAACCAAACCAAAGATAAATCAAGAGACAAAAGATGGGGCTGAAGCACCATCGTTAGGGATAAGTGAAAAACTGGAAGCAAACATCTGCAGAACATCAAGCCAGGTGGGCTGGGGAGGATGGGAGAGAGACAAAAGCCAGCAAGGGAACGACAAGGTAATGAGTGTGGATGTATTAAGTACATGATGTAAAGTGAGGGAAGTAAAAGGAGTAGCTATAAGCATCTGAAGGAATGCTTGAAGGCCCACTCCAGTGTTCTTACACTATACACATGCCACTTAGCATCAGGAATATGAGGACACTGTGAGCAACTTATCATTCAGTGCTCCATAGGGAAGAGGAGATGAAACGTTTTCACTCTGAACTAAAGGTGAAAAGCATTCAAATTCCAGAAGAAATTGCTAGGGTATATAATGAGGAGATTTGAAGCTACTTAGAGGAAACAGCATCAGAGAAGGATGTTCATCACCCTGGGCAGGCCACACAAATTAAGAGAAAGTAGAGCTGTGAATTACAATGAACAGAGACTAAATAGCTGCCTGTGTTGGATTAAAGGATTTAAATTGTCAGCTTGATGTATAATGAATGTGAAAACCCAGCACTTAATTAAATGGCACATGATAGAATAACTTTGTTATGGTTTAAACTGCTTAAGTTATCAAAGTATTCCTTCTATTTAGCAAGTGTTTAGCAGTATCTCTCTCCCTTATGAGAGCCACTGAGACATTGGCCATTTACTTTGTGTTCAGCTGTGGCAAAATATGGAATTTTTTTTTTCCTTGTGGTTTTTTTTGTTCTGTAACTTGAATTTTCAACCATGGCTAGTGAAAATCCAGCAATGCAGTCACTGAATGTTCCTGAGATATGACACAGACTACCACGAGCTCTACCAAACCAAGTAGACATTGGGGATTGATCTTCCTAGATCACAGACCATCTCTCTCCTCACCACCCCTAAAATGACTATTAGCTCTTCAACTGTGGCTGCTCATGTGTGACGGGTCCCAGCACTGGGTTGAGAGAGCAGCTTGGCCCCAGGCAGCCTTGGTCAGGCCTGGCTTGTGCCAGATAAAAACATTAGCCTCCTCCTTATTTGCCTGGAGGAGCACATCTGCCACAGGGAAAGACAGACAATGTGTTCTGCCATTGCATTTTGGTAACAGGAACTAGCTTAATTTTTCAACCTGGGAAGCAAAACTAATTGAGTTACTCTGTACAGAAGGAGGACAGTTAGAAGGGAAATTACACTGGAGAACAGGCAGATGCAGCAGATGAGGGATCACTGTAAGGGCTGGGACAGCACTTCTTAAAGGAATCCTATAGCACAGAAGAACTTAAAGACTAAATAAAGGTGATTAAGTGCATTGCTCCATCCTATGAGGGCTGATATGAAGACACACAACCACACAGTTCTCCAGAAAATTCATGCATTTTTTTTTCCTTATCCCATTCAATTTATCTCATGCTTTTCTATTTCTTGAGCCTCCATCAGCTCATGTGTTGGTCATTTAAAAGGAAGGTTTCCCTAACCCTGCTGTCCTTGTGCACACAGGGTGGTGAGGAAGAGCACCAGATAGGAAGGACTCTCCCTCCCTTTCCCAAGGCTCAATGAGGACGTGGGTCCTGGAGATGACCCAGTGTCCCAAGGGAACATGGGCACACTCAGAGCCAAGATGTGTTACAAGTACAGTCAAAAATGGAAAGATAAAAAGAAAAAAGTACTTACAGCTACTGCTATCCTTCCGAGTACATGTTCTGGAATTTTTCTATAAACATCCAAAGAACCCCCTGCAGGGACAAACAAAACGTGCTTAGGTAACACAAAATGAAATACTGCCCTAGATTTGAAGTCTCAAGGGTTTTCTAGGCCTTGGTTATTAATAAAAACACCACCAATGATATAACAATAACTGTGTCAGAAATAACTGACCTTAAAAATATACCAAACTCTGAGTAAACACACAAAATAGTACTGGGGTCTCTCATGACCCATGTTACTTTTGGAGCATGAATCCTCAAACTCCTGTTAAAAAGCCTCTCAGTTACAGGATGGAATATTGAATTTGAGGAGCTTAAAACCATGGGGCTTGGAGTAACTTGTCAGGAATAACAAAGTCATCCCCAAAAGCAACAAGAGTGGACTTCAAAGTCTGAGGTATAACTCTCGTCCCCCAAACCTGCTGCTAACACTACATGGTATCTGATGCAATGCTTAAAAACATGCTCAAAGCTCTTTCCTTCTTTCCTCCTGATGATCAAACCAGTGGAAGTTTGGTTGAGTGTTGCAGTTTGTGTCCATACTGGTGTCTAAAAAGAAAGATAAGGATCTCCCAGGTAAGTTTTGCCAGTAAACCCCAGTATAGGACAAAACTGACTGCCTGGCATAACCCCACCCAGCCAGCATCACACACTTATGGGGAAAGTGAGAAGCTAAAGTCCCTCTAATGGCCTACAGACATTCCCAAGGGACTGGGCAGGATTGTTCCCTTTATCTTCCATACAGGACATTTATGATCAGTCCAATGTTCAGAATGCCCCCAGGACAAAATACAAACAGAAATTACATTTACAACTGAAACCTAAAAATATCCAAGTAGAAAAGAGGGGTTGCACTAGATGACCTTCAAAGGTCCCTTCCAGCCCAAATCATTCTATGATTCAATGATTCTAATGGCAAAATAAAAAAAAAAAATAGCAGACAAGCAAATTGCAGGCAGAACATTTCACACTTTGCTTGCAAGAGCATGTTGTCTGATTGAGGGTTTGAGGCTCTTGGAAGTGCTCTTCACTGATCTAACTCTGCTCTCAGTGGAGCACATGGAGTTTACTGATGACACCAC